TGCAATGATGGGGCCAGCAAGATATCCACAGTGGTTGCTATCTAACTGCTATCTAAGTCCTGCATAAAACTATGGAATCCATTCCTGGTACTGTAAACTGAGATGATTAAACATGGCTGAAGAGGTCATAGACCTAAGAGGAGAACCTACTACTGCCATTTTTCTAAATCAATATAACTTCTGTTTTCTAAATATCCATCCCTATATCCCTGTAACCACAGATAAGTGTATCTCTTATCTTCATCTAAGAATCAAAGAAGCTTCTTTCTGAAGCAGAAACTGTTCTAGAGATGGTCAAAATCCATAGAATAAGTGACTGTGGAGAACCTGAATCCAAATGATACAACTACAGAGCAGCTGCTATACATAGGGATCAGAGAAAATCACAGAAGAGGAGCCAGAGACATCGTAAGATCCAGAGTCCAGAACATCTACTGTCAGGTAGTTACCTAGACATGACAAGGAAAGTGCACCTAGGAAGGTTCAACAATACAGTTGCCTGAATAAGACCAGCACAATGACAACAGTTGATATGCCTATGCAGGGGAAAGTTTACATGTTCCTACCTTAGATAAAGAACTACAGGTAGTCAACTACTACCAAAGAGAGGGACTAGCCCCCATACAGGTTGTTCAATCCCAAATGGTCATCCCTGGACTCCCTTTGCATCTGATTGTCTCTGGGTTCCAGGGAGATTGCCGAACTCTACCCTCTCTGACCTTGACCCAGGGGGACCCTAGAGACCACAACAGGCCCAGAGCTTTGCAGTAATGGCACACATCCACAGTCACATGACCTGAAAAATATTCCATTTGGATTTGGGAATCTTCAGTGTCCGAGGTGATGCAGGATGGAAAGGCTAAAACAGATCTAGTGAGTGGACCACCCAGGTCACAAGATGCCTATGTCACAATGTACACACCAAAGCACACACCTGCTGGATACTCCCAGCATCCCTGGGGAACCTATCTTAAGACTAACCTGGCCTACTTTTGAGATTCAGAAGAGACTCAAACTCTACCACATTTTCTGGAGGTAGTCAGTGATGTGGAAGGTCCAGCCTTCTGCTTCTCTAAAGGACAAAGAAATTTGCTCATGTTCTTCTTAGTTAAATTGTATGCTTTGCAATTGCTGAATTGAATATCTCATGATGTGTGGATTTACATTGGTCTGTCATCAGCCATATTTCTTGTTGCTTGATGCCCATTTTGGTTCAATCTTTGGTCTCCCCCTCCCTGTCTGTCCATCTTACTTGAGTTAATTCCATCTGTGTCTTAGTTGGGGTTCTATTGCTATGAAGAAATGCCATGGCCACAGCAACTCTTGTTTAATTGGAGCTGGCTTATAATTCAGAGGTTCAGACCATTGTCATCATGGTGAGAAGCATGGGTAATGCATACAGACATGGTACTAGAGTAGTATAGATAAGAGTTCTATAACTGGATCCAAAGAGCAGCAGGAAGAGACAGTGAGCTATACTGGGTCAAGCTTGAGCATCTGAAACCTCAAAGCCCACACCCAGGGCCACACTTCCTCCAACAACACATCTACTCCACCACGGACACCTCTCTTAAAAGTGTCACTCCCAGTGAGCCTATAGGGGCCATTTTCTCCCAAACTACCACCATCTGTTATAGATGACCAAGAATTAACTCCTGGTCTGGCATGTGCCTATAACTGTGCCTATACTGTTTTGCTTTAAATTCCCACTTGTGTCATTAACTGTCAGCCTATATTATATTGCTGCCTTTGGATGGCACTTTTCAAAGCAAAATGTAAGCCTATAAATTCTCCCATTCGATGAATATGGAAAGTTTTCAAAGGGCCTCAGTTGCATGGTTTCTAAAGAGCACATGCAAAGCTGGTAAACACTTCTTAAGCTATACATTTTTTTTCATTTATCTGATGTGTTCAAGCATGGTGACTCTTAAGTAGATGATTCTGAACCAATATATATTTGAAATTTTTATTCAATTTAGGCAAATTAGGAGCAGTGCTTCCATTGCTCCAGTAACATTCCAATTGTCAATAGTCATATACCACCAGTAGCCACCGTACAGGACAGTCAGGTGGAGATCGCTCCAATCACCACACAAAATACCCTGGAAAGTCCTGGTCTAACACTGTACTTCACATGGTGTCCTTTAGACAGCACTGTACCCCAGCATGCTCATTACTGCAACTTGTGTAATCCTAAATGAAGCTTCTACCCTTGTCTTTTTCTGATTCTGAAAAATGAGGTACTTAGCATAGTAACCACATAACATAGTGATGTGATTTAAGTTACTTACATTTCCAGTTTGTTTTTAAATGAGCTCATACTCAAATTCAAGCCTGGACTCAATAAACATTAGCTAGTATTACAGT